CAAATGCTGCTTGGCCAATGACTAGGATTCTCATCTGTTAGCTCAGTCTTAATTATCATAAATCTATATATTTTATAAGACTTATCTTATCAGATGCCTTCCATTGCTGTCCTCCCTTGCTGGTGGATAACATGGCGAATCTGGAGGAAGAGCAAGACCACTTACTTCTTCCTCTGTTTAGGTATGAGTCTCCCTGTTACGTTTTTTTCCTGCCTGGATCATCATTTCTTTACCACATTTCCCATAATCCTCTTTGATACCTAGTCCCATCTAACTTGCTGCCTTACTGGCCAAACAGTACTTTATCCAACAATCAATAAGATGAACATACACAGAAGAACATTCCCCATCATCTCCTCTTTTCTGTCTAAATAAAAAGAAGGATAACTTATCTTTTATAATAACTGAAGAAAACTATAACCATAACTATCTGTCTTCAATTCTATCAAAGACCACAGAAGGATAATATATAAACTCTAGAATTGACAGAGACATCTCACTACCTGGACAGTCACCCAAAGTTCCTCTGTAATGTTGGGGCATCCATCTTCAGCCCATATGCCATAGTGTGTCTGGCACACTTCTCCATTTCAGCAGGAACCCTTCAGTACTGTCTTATTTTGTAAGTTCAGCAGTCACTTTCTTGTGGGTCCTGCATGTCCAGTTTATACAGCAACAAACAGTCCAGGCAAGAGCAGTTTTTTGCCCAAATGGCTAATCTTGCCATGTTGAAAGCAAACTCCATAACAAGTTTCTTTGATGCCCATTCTCCTTTCTTACATAATTGGTGTGCCAGGAGCAGTTGTGTCTCACTGCCAAGAAAAACCCTAAACCATTTAAATGCCATATATTCTGTAGGTCTTTGAAAGATATGAAGAAAACCTATCCATCTCAAATACATCTCTGTATATCTGGAAAACTTAACTAACCTAATTATAAGGTCTGACTATTATAGGTAACTATATAACCTGTATTTAATTATGTATATCATTTTAAAAGATCTGTATAAACACAATACCTAAACAAGAGGAGGCATATACATATCACAAAATTGACCTTAAAGTTGTATCAATAAATGAAAATCCATAACAATGCAAAGTATTCATTCCTATATCCTATTTCCTTTTTTTTCCTTTAAAAAGAGATTGACTATGCTCATTATCATTTATAACCAACCCCATTTAAATGAAAGCAAACATTTATAAACAATATTTGGGAATTTGAGTGTCATTCACTCTGATTGGGGGCAATGTCCGTACCATGGAGATCATGATAAAACATAGAAATCTGACCAAGTCCTTGTTTTTGTAGTCTGCAAGCCTGTATCATCTCAGCTGTTTTGGATGTAGGATCAGTTGGGTCACTGCTTCAGTGGGTCTTGCTTGATCAAACCATATTAGTCTGGAAGGAATCCATAGCTTTTCATTTTCTGTGAAAACACAAGCAAAAACTTTTTTCCCAAGTACCCTGTCCTTAGACTTAACCTTTGATGTCAAAGCATTTTTAAAATGTATAAGTTGGATTAATTTTGCAGCACTTATAATCAAATGTATTTTAGCAGCAGTGACTCTTTCTTCGGCAATCAAACAATTTAAAGACGATATAGAATATAGTATCCAAACTCTCTGTGTATTTTTCATTTTTAGGTGGCTTTTCTATTATTCTATTTTTACTTCCCTTTTTTTTATTTTTTCCTGAGACAGGGTTTCTCTGTGGAAATCTGCCTGCCTCTCTTTTTGGAGTGCTGGGATTAAAGGTGTGTGCCACCACACCCAGTTACTCTATTTGCTCCTATTACTTTTTCTCTCACAAGCCTACATATATTTTTAAAAGCAGTGTAAACCTTTAGCAGTTTTTCTTTATATGGATCTGTCTTTATCATCTCAGGAGTGCTGAGTCCAACCCCCAAGAGTGCTGGGATGGCGTGTGCATATATATGGAAGCTGTTCCAATACCTCTCAGTGGCCCGACAGGGCAGGCTGTGGCAGCATGTTTTCCTCTTCCTCTGGGAACCTTGGGGCATGGGGTTATCCCACTTCTGATAACATTCTGTTACTATCAATCTTTCCCCCAAAAGCCGTCCTGAGCCCTAATACCATGTAGGTGGTCTCTGCCAGCTGCCTGAATTTGGCCCGCCGAGTTAGGGTCCCCAATTAATGCACAGAGACTTATATTAGGTACAAATGCTGCTTGGCCAATGACTAGGATTCTCATCTGTTAGTTCAGTCTTAATTATCATAAATCTATATATTTTATAAGACTTATCTTATCAGACACCTTCCATTGGCGTCCTCTCTTGCCAGTGGATCACATGGTGAATCTGGAGGAAGAGCGGCTCCACTTCTTTCTTCGTCTGTTTATGTTAGAGTCTTCCTGTTATGTCATTTCCTGCCTGCATCATCATGTCTTTACTACATTTCCCAGAATCCTCTTTGGCTCCTAGTCCTGTCTAGCTTTCTGCCTCATTGGCCAAACAGTACTTTATTCAACAATCAGTAAGATAAACATACCCAGAAGTACATTCCCAATCAATGACCAATATAGTTTATAAAGAATGTGAGTAAATCACTTAAGTTAACAATAAATGATAAAGAATATATGTTGCAAAATTTTTTAGATTAATCACAGTTGCCATAAACATATGAATATCATAAATAAATTTATTTTATGTAAGAGTAGACATATACCATACATGTAAATTAGTTATGCCATTTCTAAGTTGCTTAAGTATATATAGCTACACACACCTCACTGTTAGGCATTTTTCATCTATATGCGTAGAATGATTACCCTAGTATAACTGAGATGTTGCTCATGGATGGATAGTTCCTTGTTAATGGATTCTATTCATATGCAAATCTTTATTCCTTTCTTCATGGGTGGATAGTCCATTGCTTTAGTATGAATATTCCATGATGTCTATTGCCTGCCCATGGCTGCTTATTTCATTGTTTATGGAAGGCTGTTTCCTTATTCATGGGTGATCTTTAATTGTTTATGGATATATATAGCCCTTTGATTGGTAGCTATTCCTCTGTTATAAGATAGCTATTTCTTTGTTCATGAATAGATCGTTTGTTGTCTCAACCGTGTATTTGCTTTGTAAATTATACTTTTTTTACATAGGCTTTTTGCCCTAATTCTGAATAGATTGCCTGTGACAGCACTGTAAACAGAAAACAGAAGAATTTAGTCATTGTTTTTTGGTTTCAAAAAAAACCTAAGTTTGCTAAAATAAAAACTTGGAGAGTTAACTTTCATAGGTACTTCCCTTCCTTCTTTGTCTCTTTATAGCCAACAAGGCTCAGGGTTCAAACACTCTTTGGCTCATAGTTCCACAGTCTGTTATTGTAGGGAATTTATGGAAGAAGTAGCTTGAGGCAGCTGGATGTATTTTGTCTTCAGTCAGGAAGCAGAGAAAGTGATATGTGCTGAGCTCAGCATTTTTCTCCTGTCTCTGGGCTCCAGAATCCCAAGCAAGTAATGGTAATGCCACAATAAGCAGCTCTCTATATCTATATTAACCTAATCATGATCATCTCTCCCAGGCAAGCTGTTTTCCCCCAAGTGGTATTAAATATTATCGAGTTGACAAAAGAGATTAACCATTATAGACCTCCTCTTCTTCTCTGACTCATTTATAATTAACCTAAGGACATCCCTTTCCTAACACACTTTGCCCTCCATTGTTTATGTTAATTTGGTTTATTAATTTCACTTGTAAACCTATCCTAAATATGCCATGGAAATAATGCAAGATAACTTTATGAGTGTGGTATCATGATATATATTTAAAAGATTTGAAAACTCTTAAAGGAACTGAGGAAATATTAAATATCAATCTCAGGATTATTTTCTAATTGTTTTGATATTCTTTATAAATCTCAAATGAGCTATAATAAAGTAGGTAATGGTTTATGCATGTAGGACTACAGATCTAATTCTCTGTCTACCATGGTCAACAAAGAACATACAGAGGGAGTGGAATAGGTTGGAAAGGGGGCAAGAATGACCCAGACCCTATGAAAAACAATTTAGTTTATGCTTCTCACATTAAAGACACTCATGTTAAGGTCCTCTACATTTGCAGAAACACAAACTGTGGAAACATTTCTGTTATCAGGTCTGTTAGTTTGGAAATCTTCTGTACACCGTAGAATTTTTTTTCAATATTTCACTAAGAGAATTCTATGAACTCTCATGTACTTGTGTGCCCATGCCATGTCAGAAAAGTGCTAAGAAGGTAGTATTCAGATACTTAGTTCATTTTGTTGTTGTTCATTTAGCCTTGGGTACCTTAAAGTAAGATTGCAATTCTCATTTGGACCCTGTCTTAGTCAGAGTCCTAATGCTGGGAAGAGACACCAAGATCATGGCATGTCTTATAAAGGAGAACATTTAATTGGGGTTGGCTTACGGTTTCTGAGGTTTAGTCTGTTATCACCATGGCAGGAAACATTGTAGTATACATGCAGATATGGTGCTGGAGAAGGAACTGAGAGTTCTATATCCAGATCCTCAAGCAGCAGGAAGAAGAGTGAACTGGGCCTGGCTTGGAATTTTGAAGCCCATCCACAGTGACAGACTTCCTCCAACAAGGCTATGCCTACTAATCCTTTCAAATAGTATAACTCTCTAAGCGTTTAAATATATGAGGCTATAGGGGCTGTTCTTATTCAAACCACCACAGACCCAATATCTACAAGTAATAAACACTGACAACCAGTATGGAAGAAAGGCATGTTTAGCAAGTGGACAGATAAGCAAATGACCTTATATATCTCGCCTCAGAAGTGTTACATTCTGACTGGCTGAAACCCTCGGACCATGTGACGTCAGCTGATTGAACCATATGACGTCACGGGAGGGGCGGAGACTAAGGGCAGGAAAGTTACAAAGTTACCCATTGCGCATGCGCACAGCTTCCAATGGCTCCTTACATACGCACCTGCTCCTAACACTAATCCTTTCAAATAGTATAACTCTCTAAGCGTTTAAATATATGAGGCTATAGGGGCTGTTCTTATTCAAACCACCACAGACCCAATATCTACAAGTAATAAACACTGACAATCAGTACGGAAGAAAGGCATGTTTAGCAAGTGGACAGATAAGCAAATGACCTTATATATCTGCAAGAAACAAGAACAAAAATGTAGCTTTACCTTATTCCGCCTGAAATCTAGCAATAATGAGGAAAATGTTATCCTCATGCTTAGGATCTTAACTCTTAGGCAAACAAATAAATGAAAATCTCACCATGCTTTCATTGTATTGGCTATGTACACAGAGGAATTCAGCAAATAATCACCCAAAGTGAAAGGAAAACAATTCTGCTTGTGTGGTTCAGAAAAAAACAAAAACACAAACAAAATAGGAACAAAAGGAGAAATGTGCTTGATGCTGCTTCCTGAATGTTTCCTATCAACTTCAGGTTTTTAAAGTTTTTAGTTTTTGTTTCACTCTAAGAACAGGGTAAGCAAAATGCAGTGATTATGGTCTCAGGAGTGGATGGTAGATAAATAGCATCCAGAAGGGTATACTAATGATGGTCTCTAAAAATAAGACAAGGCAATTTTTGTTGGCCAGAAGCCATACCCTATAATTTATTATGCTCTATCCAAACATGAAGGGGTATGACTCATTAAGAACAGAGAAAATGACATGTAATATCTACAACTGTTCAGGCAAAACGTTAGGTTATTATTTGACAAAAAAAGCAAGCAACACCATAATAATTTTTACCTGAAGCCACTACACCCTCTGCTTCTTAAAAAGTGACAAAAGAATATTCTATAATTAGCTCTAGCAACATTCTGTTGAGTTAAAGTTTACAATAGCAAACACAATGGTGATTATTATGCTGATTGGACATTTAACCTTTAGCAAAATGGGAAAGAAAATACACTTCCTCCACCATGTGTTAGCTGACTCTGTAAATATTTCTTTGTATTATATCTATATTTAAGAAAATGTATGTGGAAAATATGTAAGTGTGTGTGTGTGTGTGTGTGTGTGTGTGTTTGCATGACCTGTAATCTCTCTTTATATGCCTCCGCTATGGGGGCAAGCTGTAATATCTAGTGAACACTGTAATTTTATGCAAGTTTGTAAGTATATTATCAGCTTGCAATCTAACTAGCTACATTTTCTAAGTACATATATCTTTGTATAGTCAATATAAGAGCATGAAGTGCAAGTTCACATTGTTGATGTTGATTACCTACTGGTAATAAAAATACTACCACTCATTGATTTGATTTTCCAGTTATTTCATCACAACAGAAGCAAATGGATACTTCATAGCTCAGCCTCACTTTCATCATCTTACATCTTATCCTT